TATTCTACGGTTACATTAGGCAGTGCACGCGGAACAAGGACCCAATACCCCTGATAAGGACTGCTGAAGGCGAACATCTCACTGACGACAGGGCGAAAGCTGATCACCTTTCAGAATTTTTTCGGTCTGTTTTTAGTAACGAAACAGGATTCAACCCTTCGGCCCTTCAATCCTTCGAAGACACCCCAATTATAGAGACCGTCCAGTTCACTGAGGGTATGGTTCTGACGGAGTTGCTGAGGCTAAAAGAATCCAAATCACCAGGTCCCGATGAGATTCCGGCGAAGATTTTGAAGGAACTCGCCGGTGAGTTGTCTAAGCCACTCTCCATGCTTTTCCATACATCCTTCGAGACCGGATATCTGCCACCCGACTGGAAGTCGGCGTGGATTACGCCGCTGTACAAGGGCGGAAGTCGGGTCTCTGCGAACAATTACAGACCGGTCAGCCTCACCTCCATTTGCTGTAAGATTATGGAGAAGATAATAAAGCAACAACTAATGCAGTTCCTTGAACAAAACCAGTTGCTTTCCGATTCTCAGCATGGATTCCGAAAAGGCCGATCCTGTGTGACAAACCTGCTCTACTGTCTGGAACACTGGACTAGGGCTGTTGATAGAGGAGATATGGTGCATGCCATCTATATCGACTTTAAAAAGGCCTTCGATAGTGTGCCTCACCACCGCCTTCTATACAAACTTAGCTGTGCAGGAGTGCGTGGTAAGCTTCTGATGTGGATTCGGAGCTTTTAAATCGGCCGCTCTCAAGCCGTCCACGTCGGTGACCAACAATCTGCCGAGGTTGCCGTTAAGAGTGGTGTTCCCCAAAGCTCTGTTCTTGGCCCTACGCTGTTCCTCGTATACGTCAATGACTGTGTAAACGAACTGAATTGCGATGTCGCAATGTTTGCCGATGACATAAAGATTTGGAGTACCATACGAAGCGAAGTTGACGAGGCGCGACTGCAGACAAGTCTGGACCACCTCGAGCAATGGTCGAAAGACTGGCTTCTACCGTTCAACGTAAACAAGTGTACTTTCCTACGCGTCGGCAGAACTAGTTTTCCTAACCACACGGTCTACCGTCTGACTGGCAAACCACTGCAAGAAGTCGGCGCCCAGAAGGACTTGGGTGTATGGATCACAACCTCGCTTAAGCCTTCGCTGCAATGTTCAAAGGTGGCCAAGTCGGCGATGTCCATGCTATACCTTGTCAAACGGGCGTTCTCCTCATTTGATGAAGACTGCTTCGCCAAGGTCTTTCAAACTTTTGTGCGACCGCATCTGGAGTTTGCTATCCAAGCATGGCGACCCTGGACCGCTAAAGACTTGGGCATACTCGAAAAAGTTCAACGGCGAGCAACGAAACTTGTATCTGGGCAGTGGTCACTACCCTACGAAACGCGATTAGCTAATCTTGACCTCTTTCCTTTGAGTTACAGACAGCTACGTGGGGACCTGATACAAGCTTTCCGCATCGTGCGCAATCAGGGCTGCTGCCTCGCGTTTGGAGACTTCTTCGAGTTGGCGACTACGACTAACCTGAGAGGCCATCCACTCAAACTGCGTGTGGCTGGTGTCCGGCTGGACACCCGAAAGTTCTTCTTCTCCAACAAAGTGGTTGCAGCTTGGAATGCCTTGCCTGAGGATGTTGTTATGTCAGGCTCGGTAGATACTTTTAAATGGAGACTAGATCAGCATTGTAGCGCGCACCACAATAACGCCGGACTACGGCCACCTTGACAGCCAACGCTGACAATTTAGTGTTATAACGATGCTACTACCAACATTTAAGTAATATATGTTTATGTTATTTATTAAGCTTGGGCCACGTCGCACACCACTGTTCGCATTCACCACGATGCCTGTAAACTGAACAATTTTACTTCTTTTCCCGTGTCTTAAGTGTGCCTCAACTGTCCGCTGTATTTTGACCAACAAAGCAAGTTAATGTGCCTCTAAACTCTGTTAAAACATGACATTATGTCGTTCATCTGTACAGTTTTTGCTATTCCCCTCGCATTTCTTTCATGTTACTTCGTTTCCATTTCCTCCATATATATCCTCTGCATGTAACCAATAGGGATTTCAAAGGTACATACCTACTTTCCCTGAAATATACTGATACTGATACTGATACTACACGTGGAACATCCTCCTCAGGACCGATTTTCTAGCTTGTTACGGATGCCAAATGGACGTACGAAATGAGAGACACGAGTTCCGACAAACCGGCGCAGAAGGTCAGGCGAAGCTCCTGACTGCTTGGCCGGCAATCCAAACGGCAGTATAGGTCCCACCGACGTCCACTGATGATGTATTACCTACAGGAGAACGGAGCGACGTTGAGACGAAATCACTCAAATGGATGATGCTTGGTTTTCACTATGTTTTTGCATGGGACATGTACACGCTGGGCCGTACCAGTTGTATACGACACGCTAATGAAACGAATGCAGCGAGGCCCATTTGTCAACCTCCACGGCGTATACCGGCGCACTTACAAAAGGAAGTGGATACGTTATTAGATAGCATGCTGTTGGGAGTGCCTACACTCCCAAAAACAAGAGCAAACCAATCACTGGAGATCACGTGCGTTTGCTCTCTCTCTCTCTCTCTCTCTCTCTCTCTCTCTCTCTCTACAGCGCTGTCATCTCAATCAGGCGCCTTCCCACTGGCTGCTCCCCTCTTCCCAAAGGCCATTTGACTGAATACCGTCGAACTACGGCAGTGTGTTATAAATATGCGACAAACTTAGCTAGTCGCGACTTGCAGTGTTTTGCTAATACACTTTCCGTGGCCAGCCGTGTGTTCTTTGTCTGCTGCCCTGGTATTGGGGACCAGGGTCGAGTGCGTATACGCTCCACGGGATTTCACGCACCAGGCGGGTCATAAAAAATTGGCTACGCAATTCTTCAACTACAATTGCCGACGAGTACGCAGACTTGAAGCAGATGTTGCAGCAGCAGCTGAAGCTAATGGAGGCACTCACCGTTAAGCTGTCCAACTCGTCCATGGGTCAAGCAAGCGCGACACGTGGTTCGCAATCTGTTGGTCACATTGCCGGCAGCATCACTGAATTCTTATATGACCCGCAGGCCCATACTGCTTTTGATTCCTGGTACAAACGACATGAGGACTTGTTCTCTGTCGATCTGGCTGCCCAGGACGATGCATGGAAGGTCCAAATTCTACTTCGCAAACTGAGTCCGGCTGAACATGAGCGTTATGCCAACTTCGTCCTCCCCAAGAATCCCCGAGAAGTCGGTTTCAAGGACACGGTTCAGACGTTGTAGCAGATTTTTGGTGAGCAATCATCTCTCTTCAACACTCGATTTCAGTGCTTGCAACTGCGCAAACGAGATTCCGATGATTTCATCACGTATGCGGACATTGTTAATCGTGAGTGTGGGCGTTTCCAACTCGGTTCTCTCATTGAAGACCAGTTTAAATGCCTTATATTTATCTGCGGATGCTGATATCCGGACACGTCTCCTGTCCAAAGTGCAACTCTACCACACTCCAAGAGCTGGCAGCAGAGTACCAAACGCTGATTAATCTCAAGCACGACTCTGCAATGATTCAGAACCCTGCCTCATCTTTCTCAGTCCATACGGTCACATCGACCAAATCGCATCCTCTTACACGGCCCAAGAAAGTGTCCAAGTCGAGATCTCCGCCATCTCCTTGTTGGCACTGTGGCGCGTGGCATTTCCACCGGGATTGCACTTTCCGCCAGCATCGCTACCAAAGCTGTAATCAGGTGGGACACCGTGATGGGTTCTTCAAATCAGTACCAGCTTCTGGAGGCAAGCCAAACCCCGCCACTCCTAATTCCAGGCACCGTTTCCGGCCAAAACGCAAGCCCAAACCCCAGTCGGTTGGTAATTCTCTCAGCCTGCACCCAAGAATGTGTCGCAACTTCGCTCGTTTCTTGGCCTGATCAGCTACTATAGCGCCTTCCTACCATTGCTGCATGACGTACGGGCCCCGCTCAACCGTCTGTTGCAGAAGGATGCTCCCTGGTGCTGGTCCCCCGACTGTGAAAAGGGCTTCGCCCAGCTAAAGTCGATGCTGAGTTCAGACCTGCTGCTCACGCACTACGACCTGACGCTGCCGATCGTTGTTGCTGCATATGCTTCCAACCACAGAGTTGGTGCCGTCATCTCACATACTTTTCCTGATGGGTCTGAAAAGGCGATCATGCATGCATCTCGCACGCTAACCCCCGTGGAGAAGAACTACGGGCAAATAGAGAAAGAGGCTCTAGCCCTCGTGTTTGCCGTCAAGAAGTTCCACACACTGTTGTGCGGTCGCCACTTCACGTTGTTGACGGACCACAAATCATTGCTGTCAATCTTCGGTTCGAAGAAGGGCATTCCCGTCTATTCAGCCAGCCGACTTCAGCGATGGGCAACCATCCTTCTTGGCTACGATTTTGACATTCGCTACTGTCGTAATACAGACTTTGGTCAGGCTGACGCCCTTTCTCGCCTCATCAGCAATCAGCAGGAACCGGAGGAAGATACCGTAACTGCAGCTTTTTCGATTGAGGATGATGTGCGCCGTCAGCTATCAGACGCCATACGAGGTATCCCCGTCACTGCCACAGACATCCGACGTGCTACTAAACAGGATCCTGTCCTCCGCCAGGCAATCACCTACGTGCAGACCTGCTGGCCAACCACTGCTCCCGCTGGCGATCTTCGCCAGCTCTTCCTCCGCCGAGCATCGCTATCTGTGGTTGACTCCTGCCTCATGTTTGCGGACCGTGTGGTGATCCCATCTTCCCTCCGACCCACTGTACTACGCCAGTTCCATGCCGCTCATCCTGGTACCAGCCGAATTAAGTCTATTGCTCGCAGTTTTGCTTACTGGCCGGGTATCGACGGCGACATCGACGACCTGGTTCGACGCTGTTCTCGATGTCAGCAAGCTCCCAAGATGCCGCCTCGTCAACCGCCAGTACCCTGGCAAACACCGGAGAGGCCTTGGTCACACGTGCATATCGATTTCGCTGGCCCACTTAACGGAGTCTCCTACCTAATCTTGATTGAAGCCTACTCGAAGTGGCCCGATATTGCTCCGAAGCAACCGCATCCGCCACTATCGCCTTCCTACGACGCATCTTTAGCCAACATGGCTTACCGGAAGTCCTGGTTTCAGATAATGGCTCTCAGTTTACTTCGTCGACGTTTGAGGATTTCTGCCGCCAGCACAACATCCAGCATCTTCGCTCCCCGCCCTACCATCTTCAGTCTAACGGTCAGGCGGAGCGTTTTGTCGACACTTTTAAGAGAACCCTCTTTAAAGCTCGTGGGGAGGGGACCACGGACGAGATAGTCCAGACATTCCTGTTTTCCTACAAGACAACACCGAACCCGGTGTCCCCTGGTGGCGTTTCTCCTGACGAAGCTGTAATGGGCCGAAAACTGCGTACAGCGTTTCATGCACTCGTTCCCACCGGCGTGCAGTCCACGCAGACTTCTCCAGTCTCTCGCAGCAAGCTTTCTGTCGGAACACCTGTCTTCGTCCGTGATTATCGAAGTGGGTTCCCAGACTGGATTGAGGCAACCATAGTAGCGCACAGAGGCAGTATGTTGTTTTATGTCGACGTTGGTAATGACATCTGGGTTCGTTATCACAACCAGATTCGACGGCGACATTGCAGTAAACCAACTGGGCTTGAGTCGGCGCCGCCACTCTCTCTTGACATCCTACTGGATACCTTCGCCATTCCAGCAGATCGGTCGGTCCCTGAGATCAATGCTACGCCTCCTTCGCATGTACCGCCTTCGGTATCAGTCACTGCCCGGGGGTCTCCAGACAACAAACCACAACTAAGACGCCCGACCAACCGCGTGCGCCGACCAACATTGCCGATGCAGATCAGTCCACGCCAAAAGCGGTACTGACCCACTTGAAGGGGAGCTGTTGGGAGTGCCTACACTCCCAAAAACAAGGGCAAACCAATCACTGGAGATCACGTGCGTTTGCTCTCTCTCTCTCTCTCTCTCTCTCTCTCTCTCTCTCTACAGCGCTGTCATCTCAATCAGGCGCCTTCCCATTGGCTGCTTCCCTCTTCCCAAAGGTCATTTGACTGAATAGCGTCGCACCACGGCAGTGTGTTATAAATATGCGACACACTTAGCTAGTCGCGACTTGCAGTGTTTTGCTAATACACTTTCCGTGGCCAGCCGTGTGTTCTTTGTCTGCTGCCCTGGTATTGGGGACCAGGGTCGAGTGCGTATACGCTCCACGGAATTTCACGTACCAGGCGGGTCATAACACACTCTGACTATCTCGTTCTCCTTGGGCATCACCAGTAACATTAGTTCCCAAGAAAGAAGGCAAATTACGCTTCTGTATCGACCACAGACACTTGAATGCAGTGACTACACGGGATTCCAATCCCCTACCCCGTATTGAATGTACACTTGACGCCTTAGCCGGCTCCAGGTTATTCTCCATTTAGACCTAAAGTCCGGCTATTGGCAAGTGAAAATGAGACCGGCAGACCGCCAAAAGACGGCGTTCATTCTGCCTCAAGGATTATACGAGTTCGATACGATGCCTTTCGGCATATGTAACGCGGCCGCTTAATTTCAACGGCTAACGCAAGCAATGCTGTCACACCTTTATTCGCGTCAGTGTTTCGTTTATCTTGACGATGTTATTGTTTTTGGGAAAACGATCGCTCAGTATAACGACAACCTACGTGCCGTACTCTTAGCGCTGCGCGAATCAGGCCTTACACTTAACTCGCAAAAGTGCCCATTCCTTCACGAGAAGGTTAATTATCTACGACACAATGTTAGCCCGTCGGTTACCCAAGTCTCCTCCGAAAAGGTGGAAGCCATACGCACTTGGACGACACCAAAGTCTACCACGGACGTCCGAATCTTTTTCGGGTTGGCATCCTACTATGGGCGGTTCATCCTTGATTTTGCCGGCGTTACGCGCCCGTTTCACCGCCTTACAGAAAAAGGGCGCGAATTCTGTTGGACGGACAAATGCCAAACTGCGTTCAATGAACTCAGAACCCGATTATCAACAGCGCCGATACCAATGCTCCCCAACACCACCGACAGAGCGCCATCCTTTGTCCTTGACACGGACGCCAGTGCTTTTGCCATGGGAGGTGTTCTTTCGCAAGTCGACGAGGACAATTCGAATTGAGGACAGATTGGAACTGACTCCATATCGCTGGAGGTGGGGGTGCTGGTGGTGATGGCAGTAAATTACAGGACGTCGGATGTCGTCCCATCGGTGGGGGGAATGCGAGATATCGTGATGAGAACAGTGTTGGTCGCCTTGATCGACGCAGGGGTTGGGGTAGAGTGGATGGTGCCGGAGATCGATGGCGGTGGACCATCGGCGATGTGATCATCGGTGACGGGGATGGCTGTCTTCGTGGGGTTTGCGGCATGGGGCGACAGCAGGGGTGATCGCAGAGAGAGAAGTTGACGCTGCCTAGTTGTTAGTACATCACTCCCGCGGGATGTGCGTTGACAGCGCGGGTATGTTGGAGGCGGTTGACTAAGGGAATTGAGGAATCGAGGCATTTGTGACTTGTGGGCCATCACTTTGGTTCTGGCAGAAGGGATCCGGTTTGTTTCGTAGACTGCTAACCCAGTTTTCACTGCTGTTCTTTAGGCTGGCCGGTTTTGTGCGATATCTTCGCAAGTCTTCGGGTTGATATGTGGACTCGACAAGGAGTTCTTTAAGGTACCTTTAGAACGGCGAGTTTGCCCTCCTTGTCTTGGTAAACGTGTGTCTTCCATTATCACAAGATGGCCGGTCGCTACATGCTTGGCCTGACCCCCCAAACACAAGCCCCAGGATTTAAAGCAACGGGGGTTGCTTGAGAGTGCCTTGGAAGGAACTGTCTTAGCCCGCCTCTCAGCCAACCAGTCCGCCACTCCACACAAACACTCACACAACTGGATGGACTGTGTGGACTGAGTTGGGGCCTCAGTCAGCAGCCTTCCAAGCCACGACGCTTGACTCGTCTAGGTAATCTCGGGCTCGAATCACCCATGCAACAGGAGCCGCACGAAGACCGAGTCGAGACACACACACACACCCCACCTGCGTGGGAGGTGGCAGTTGGACGCCTGCCGGGGATGATGTTGGTGTGCTGTGAGATGCTGGTGATGGAGAATGTCGTGGTGTGGTGCAG